AGAGCTCTGAGCAGAGGGGAGGCAGCCAAGCTACTCGTGGAGCAGGGCTTCTCCTGACTGATCAAGCCTTGCCATAGTTAAAGGCTTTGGGTAGGGAACTGCTGTGAAAAAAAGCAGAACATTTGTCCTCTGCTGCCACCTTGCCAATGAGAAGCATCAGTATTAAAATTGCCAGAGATCTATGCTCCATTAGCAGTATTCCCTTATCCTGATGTAGTTTCTGAGGAAATAAATTTTGGTAGTAGGGAAACCCCCATGCACTGGAGCCTTGTCTGTTAGACTCTATACAGGTCAGTATTATCTGTCCAAAAAGTGAAACTTTACCATAACATCTTATCCCCCTTCTGTTTCCCAGTATTTGGAAATAGATGGGAAGAGGAGCAGTGGGAGCTGGGATTTCTTCTTCAGTCATTGCTGCTCTCTTTTATCTCTTCAATTTGTCCCTGATTGATAGGTCTCAAAAATGAAGAGGAGGTGTGCCTCGAGGAGAGGTGCAGGGAGCAGGGGCTGAGGACGCCTGTGACTGCTGGCTGCTGTGATGTTTTTTGTTCTGAATCCTCTGTTTGGAAGGTGGTAGCTTATTGCAGCAGCTCCCAATAGTGGTGTTCTTGCTCCGCTTCCCTTCCATGGTTGTATCCTGTTTGTGGAAAGATACTTTTCCTCTAAGCAAGCATGCTAGATGACTGTGTGACTTTCAGGGAGCAATCCAGGAGGATACATACTTTCCTCCCTTCTCTCAGGGCATCTTCAGCTTTAGTCAGTGTCAAGGTCAGAGCCTGAAACAAGCTTCCAATCAGATGCTGCATTAAATAGATGGTAAAAAATAAATGCAGTGTACCTTGAGAAACACAGAAACATGGGTACCCATAAATTTGCAAGGTTTAAGAGCATATGAAGATGGTGCTAGGTACTTTAAGGCTTGATCTGTGTAGCATTTATCTATTGGTGTGTTTGGCTGTTAAAAAACCAAGTACTTTGAACTGCAAATATGTCCCTGGTAGCATGTATGTAATACAGTTACGAAAATAATGTGGTAGAAGTTTTCTCTGTTGTTTCCTGTTTTGGATCTGTGATGTTAGTTTCAAAGTAGTTACCAAAACATATTTCCTAACTCTGTGTTTCTGGAATTCTGTGGTCCTTCTACTTACTGTAGACTTTTTTTTTATTATTTATTTTTTCTTTCTTTCTTTGTATCTAACAACCTTCTCCATAAACTGAGAGTGCAAAGTGTAATTGATTTGGATGTTTGTATGCATCCATCCATTTAGACGCTGTGCTTCCTATCACCCTCAAGCAAAAATACTACTGATGTGCAAGTTATTGAAAAGAGGTCAGTAAATTGGCACTGTAGGTTTTGTCCATAGTGTTGTCCTTCATTTGCTGCTGTTTTATCTTTATGGTATTGTTACCAGGCTTTCACATTCATCAGAAACTCCCGCAGGCCAGAAACCTACTATGCAGAATCCATTAGAGATGTGGAGTTTGGGGTGGGGAGAGGGGGGCGGGGGTTCCCCTCCTTACTTCACTCATCAGATCTCAAAATGATTATTCTAAATAGTGTGTCTTTTTCACTGGTAGATTTTTTTGAACACTAAGGAAATCAAAATCACTGCACTAGCAACTGGCCAAATGTTACTTGTAATCTGTGGAGGCTGAAAAACTACATACTTAGACTCTGTTCTGATTTTTTTTTTCTTTCCAATGCTTCTTCTGAATTGCTTTCTCTCCCCTCACTTTTCACCTTCTCTTCCCCACAAACCTTGCTGTCTGAGGAGTGTTGAGCAACACCTCTTTGCAAGTTTGCCTTCCTTCCAAAAGGAAAACCTTACTTTTAGGTAGTAGCTCTGTGCTTCTGCTGTGTTGCATGTTGAGTGCTGATAGGAGGTTGTTGACTGGAGCAGATGTTTTATTATATGCAATCTAGTGAAGTTTGTTTCCACTTGAATGTCAAAGAGGATGCATAAGGTGTCGTTTCTGCTTTGAAACCTTTCCACATTGGCAGAGTAGTATATGAAGACCTCTGTTTTAACAGTGATGAACAGAAGTTTGATGGAAATTTTGAGATACAAAAGCTAGCAGTGACCAGGTCGCTACTGCTTTGCTAGTAATAAGTCTGTTATGATAAGGCCGTGGTGTTACCCTGCCATGTTAAAGAATAAAGGGCAAGTTCTGAAGGAATAACCGAGCGAGCAGCCACACAAATCAACCTTTATCACTCTTTCTGCCAGCTGAGTGATTTTATTCTGTCTGTGGGAGCATTGTCCTTTTATCAGCTTGGATTTTAAGAAGGTTATACATTCACCTGAATTAGGATGGTGTGAGGTTGCCAGAGTCATAATCACTGGTAATTTATTAGTGCTAGGTACAGAGTTAAAATGAACGTGCTAATGACAATCTCAAACATCATTTTATAGTAGAGAGGGAATGTTGTAACCAAGGGAACTATTTAGTGTACAGTTGTTTTGGAAAATAAACTGCTGTCATCAGGATTTCTGATAGACATTTTATTGCATGACTTATGATCTTACTATGTTTGAAAATACTGGTTTTACGGCGATGTTAATTTTTTTTTTATGGTGAATAATTTTTTTTTTTTTATTATGAATTGATAGGACAAGGGGCAATGGCTTTGAACTGAAAGAGGGTAGATTAGATTAGATATAAGGAAGAAATTATTCACTCTGAGAGTGATGAGGCACTGGAACAGAGAAGTTGTGGTTGCTCCATCCCTGGAAGTGTTCAAGGCCAGGCTGGATGAGGCTTTGAGTGACCTGATCTAGTGAAAGGTGTCTCTGCCTATGGCAGCAGGATTGGAACTACATGATCTTTAACATCTCTTCCAACTGAAACCATTCTATGATTCTATGAATGGTCTTCTGGATGTGACACAATCCGTCTTTTTGTGAGGTTTTTATAGAAATCGTATATTTAGCCCTTTTTGGTGCTATAGCTGATGTTCTCTGCAAGTGACTTTTTTTTTTTTTCCTCTGTGGAATCCTGATTAGTCTGCTTTTCAGTAATACAGCTTGTAGTTTACAGATACACTGTATTTTTGCTTGTGCAGTGGTTTAGTTATTCTTAGTATTTCTATGTAATTGGTATCAAATTACTACTTTAAAGCGTAAACTTTTTACTGTTACCACTTTCAGACTGAATTGTTTGGGTAAGTGTAATTCTCTCTTGAATGGCATTCTTTGGAGTTCGCTGGCACTACAAATGTCACTAAGTATTGTAAATGTTTTCAGGATTTGATCCTCAAAAATATGAATTGAGAAATAGGAAGATAAACAGAAAAAATTATACTGTTTGCTGTAGTTCAAGCAACTTTTTGATGTTCAAGCATGGAGAAAAAATATACCTCTAACATTTCAACAGATACCTAGGTACCGTTGCACTTAATATATCATTGATGTGCCTTAGTGGTGATCAACTGTACATTTATGTGTATTGTATATTTTTAAATTGAGTAGCTTTGTTTCCTTAGGGTGGCAGTCTCCTGGTAATATTACTGTACTGAATACACTTTTTTAAAAAAAATTTAAATCTCATTAGGCCTTATCTGTCTCTCCCCAGCATTAATGCGCACTGGAGCAACATTAGCCAATCTGTCAGATTGAGCTTTAGCTGACAATTGTTAGGGGTAAATCCCCTGAAGAACAATTTGTGCTACAGCAGCCTGATAAGCAATAGTCATATGATCAACTCAACTTCATTATCTGTGCCTTTTTTCAGAAGTATAGGGTTTGATGAATAAGTGTAGCCAAAAATAAAAAGAATGTAAAGGTAGAGCAGAAAGTGCTGTTTTTTCCTCTGCTTATTGGTGGGTTTTTAGAAAACTTGCACACTTTCAGATAAGTCAGTGTAGCTTCTCAAAGGATCAGCTGTGGTCGTAGACTAACCTGCATGCTTTCTTCAGCATAGCAAAACTCCTGGTTCCACCTTAGTGATTAATCGTCTCATCCAGTCTTAGTAAATATTTTTTTATGAGTGATACTGTGTCCACCATGATGTGGTCTGGGTAGTATAAGAATCATTTATTATTTCGCATGCATTTTTTATTTACTTTGCTGTCTCATACCATAAAACCCAGTTCTTATCAACTTTATATGATTTCATGGTTTAGCCCAGCCAGCAGCTAAGCTACCACCCCGCCGCTCGCTCACTCCTCGCCCTTGGTGAGGTGGGGAGGAGGGAATCAGGAGAAAAGGACAAAACTAGGGGGTTTGGATAAGGGCAATTTAATAGGACAGTACAAGAAAGACGAGAGGGGTAATAACTACAATAATACTAGTACAAGAGCAATACGAAATGAGCACTACAACTTCTCACCACACAGAACACGGAGCTCTGCCTGCTCCCAACCAGCAAAATGAACACCCCTCGCCTGGCTAGCTCCCCCAAGATACACTTTGAGTGTGATGCCACACAGTATCTAATAGCCCCCTGGCCAGTCTGGGTCAGCTGCCAGTGCTGTGTCCTCTGTCATCTTCCTGCAAAAAAGTTAACTCTATCCCAGTCAAACCCAGGACATATGACGTAGTATCTTTATGTCGAACAGCGTTACTAACAGTATTGGAGATTCTTATTTGTGGAGTAATTCTGCTGCACATAATACAATAACTTTGTGACATGATAGTATCCTGATTATGTATCGAAGAACAGCTGTTTTCACATCTTCCTTGATTTTTTCTTTTTTTTAATGGTGAATAATGTGATTTTATGTAATTAATTGTGAGTAATACTTAAGACATTGCTCTTCAGAGAAGAAAGTTTTAATGGTTTGTTCTGCCACTCACAAAAGCAAATGCTTATTACAAAAGAGGAACACTTGCAGTCTCAGTTTAACTTGAAGCTTTTTCTTTTAGTATTTTTTTAGTTTTTGATACACTTACGCAAAAGTTGGCATAAGATGAAAACTTTGTAAACCAAAACTCTCTAAAGGACATTTTACCCCAATGATTCTGACAATATGATTAATGTTTTATTTTATTTCCTCACAGTTTTATGTGCTGAAAGAGTGGGCCAGATGACTAAAACATACAATGACATAGATGCTGTTACACGTCTTCTTGAAGAGGCAAGTATTACATCTTTTTAATACATCTCATATTCAGTATGAGAAAGTAGTACAGAAATTATATGGTACCACTAGTAAAGACTGTCCTCAAATGGGGAGGAGTACGTATTCTGAGTGTAGGTACATTTTATCTCATTGGTAAGGTAAATATAAATAAAGGTCATGTGTTTACCTCAGTCATATGGATTCATTAGTTGTGCTTTTTTTTCAGTTGAGGCCATTTAACTTGCTTTTGGCCAAATATTTTCTATAATGAATTGAGGTGGAAATCATCTTAAAATGACACATGTTTTTACAGTATATGTAAACTGTTTACCAAAAAAAGTTCACAAATAGTCTTGTATTCATAATTATTATCTCAGATAATGTCTTTCCAGAGAAGTGCATAGACACAAAATTGGAAGAATATCTAATGCTCCATTTGTCTCCAAGCCTTGTCGTCTTTGCCTGATGTTTGGTTGGTTTGGGTGTGGGGTTTTTTTTTCATACCATTATTACGTAAATTGTTATTGCTGTAATCCTTGGCATTCAAGAAATGGCAAAAAGCTATTGTCAAGCTGTGATGCTTATGTTCAATAAATATCATAATAAATAATTTGACTGAAATTGGCTGCTTTTCTGCAGTAAACTTGAGCAATGAGTATATTCTTTAGGTGAAAACTGTTACAGTTGTATTAGTTCATGGCTGAGTGTAATTTAATCTTTCATATTTATTTGCTTGTTTATTGCAATAGCAATGTCAAAAATGGGGTCAGTCTAGCCAAGATACATTGGGTGGTCTGTTCGTCCTCTGATTCTGCAAGGCAACAAGCATGGGAATGCTCACATCTCCCACTTTTACTGAGATCAGATGTATCGAGCATGAAGTCCTGCATTTTGTGCTTTGAGCTGAACTCTTTTAAAGAACTTTCCATGAAATACCAGTTAAAGCTGATGCTTTACCTAAAAAACTTGTCCTGGAATAATACATTGACTTGTAGCCACAGTTTGTTACCTGTTTGTGTCCTGTTCCCTCTATCTTGTTTGGCTCAGATTTACTTGTGTTTGTTTCCATGGCTTCTTCTAGTAATGATGCGACATTCTGCCAAACTGCTTCCTCCCCTGAGTCCATGTAGCCAAATGTCTATAGATCCAGAAATCACACTAATGGGAACAATGCTAGAAGGACTTACTGAGCCAGTGTTTTAAAGCTTCTGATGTACTTCCCTCTCAGGACAATAGCGAAGGAAAAATGAGGGAACATGTAATAGATGAACCTTTAGTAAAACAAGCACTTTCAGTGAGCTTTTTTGTTTTATTTGGCCATAATTTCTGATTGAATCACTGTATCCCTAGGCAGACATGCACTTTTACAGCTCCTTTTTCTGTTCCCCAAATGATAGTTGTCCCAAGAGATTACATCTGGTTGCAGAAGTTAAGGTGTAATTCCTTCTGCTACCCTCACACACGTAAGCAAAAAAAGAACCACCCCAAAAGCTACCCCTTGTCTGTCCTTTGTGTTGGCAAGCTTCCAATGAATGTATTACAAAGTTGGCAGAGTGAAAAGTGCAGCATTTTGGGGAGGAAAGATTAGATCTCAAAACAACAGTGTGCAGATATTTTTAAAATCTGTGCCTGTTACCCTGAAACTAAGCAACGGGAGTGGCACCAAACCTGCCTGGGTATGTGGTAAGAACAGGAGTAGATTCCTCTGTGAACCTGCTTTCTCATCCCTTTCTAATAATAGTGTAAATGTGTTTGGCTTCAGTATTTTTTACGTGTTGCTGTAATAAATCAGTTCCTTATCGCTCTGAGTAAGAGGCATGATCCCAAGCTGAGTTTTAGAGCTGATTGTGTAGGAAGTCTGGGGAGGTTAAAGAGCCCAGAAAGACACTTAATATTCCTCAACTTCACGGTTAGAAACTTTGCTGCTAGAAAATTCTTCCTTTGTAGAGTCAAAGCTGCAGTGATATATTTTTTTCCACTTCGTATTTATGAAGAGAGCCAAACTATTGAACAATAAGTTGGCTTGATCCGTAAACCAAATGGTTTTTTGGATAACTTCATGCGATCTATTATTCTGAAAGATTGTACATAAGATTATATAAAGATTTTATGGCTAGATAATGCCAGTAGCTTGCAATGCAAATATAAGCCTGACCTTCAGAAACCATCTGGAAAATGCTGTTTGTAGATACAGCAATGATCAATAACCTGTCTTTTTATTTATTGATTATTATGTAACTTCCTTTTTTTTTTCTCCCCACTACAAAAGCCTCTTCAATCAAATTCATTGACTTAGATCAGTGTGATCAGTAGCTGTAGGTTTTGTAGGCTTTGTCATTGATGTGTACATGACACAAGGTAGCTTTTAGTAATAGGATCTGGATAGCTGTCAGGGATGGTAAATTTGCCCCAAACAGTATTTCCAGTGACAGGGAGAAAACTTTCCCTCAAATGATGTTGAACTAAAAGTAAGTGGGAAGTTACCCTTAGCACCGTTTTCCCGCTATTGTAAGGATCTAGTAATTGGATAAGAAAATGATAAATTGCTTGATGAATGGTGCAAAGTTTTAGGCAGTTTATCATCCTGTTCCAGGTGGACTACAGCCCTATCTCTCAGCTTTGCAGAAGCTGAAACAGGTATAGGTCCATGTCATCAACAGGATAAGCTGCTAGTTTTTATTGGTGCCAGCGGTGAATTGTCTAGATCAGTTATTTTCAATTCTGTGCATGCGGAGAGGGGGAAAAAGGGGGCAAGCATGGCACAAGAATAACTATTTAATGTAGATTTGGGCATCTGCAAAAAGGAAAGGGGTAGGACTTGGTTTTATATGAAAGTGTTACTGGATGTACATATGCAAGAAGATAGGAGCTGAACATTCATTGTGGTGGAATTGGCTTCTGCTCCTGCACAGCTTACTACCTTTTATTTCAAGGTGGAGCAAGTGGAAAGTGAAAAATGCTTTGAAATGCCTAAGTTCTTTGCTATTTTTACTGTGCTTCTTTAGAGGTTATGTTTTAAAGAGTTATAATGTTCTGTCATTGCATTCTGCAGGTGTTATAACAAGGTGATGGAATAGTTTCCCTCAGTAGTTTCTCAAACAAAGCTGTAAGAGCGAACTAGATTTTGTATCACTTACATTGTTTTACATTAGACCTTGAAAGCTGTGCTTTCATGTGTATGATTCAATAACTCTGTATGGGTCAGTCTTTTCTGAATAATGTGGGTGTAACATAAGCAGGAATAGAAAAAGAAAATTAGCAAACAACCAAACTCTCACAGAAGGAAAAAGTCTTTTTATCGTTCAAGTACTTGTTCTTTCCTTTTCACAATAATTTTACCCTCCCTCTGATCCTTTGGTGAATAAAAAATCTGAAATTAGCTTTTTCTTTATGCTTCACAGAAAGAACGGGACTTAGAATTAGCTGCTCGGATTGGCCAGTCACTGTTAAAGAAGAATAAATCACTGACAGAAAGAAATGAGTTCCTGGAGGAGCAAGTAGAACACATCAGGGAAGAGGTAAGATTTTTACACCCGAGTGCTGTATCTGCAGTGATGGGGAGAATTTTCATTCTAGCTTCACCTTGTCCATACTTTATTCTAGGGCATCCTGTCCATAGCAGGTTAATCTGTGTTGTAGCAGTTTGGTCAGCCATATTTATAGCATGTACACTTTTAGAAATGGGACCAAAAAAGTAGTTTGACCTGTTGGCTTCAATCACGTGATTTGAGGGGAAAAAAAAAACACAAAACAACCTCCAGCCATTGAATTTTGCTCTGCATCCGATTTCATTTTCCTCTGAAAAAAAACCAAACCTGCTCTTTTAGTTTTGAGTCACTATACCCACAGTTTTCTTCTACCTGTTTGTCCTTGTTCCTCTGCTTTATACATAATTCCC